TTAACTTTTTTAAAAAAATAATAAATTTTAAATTATTTTATTGAAATAATAAATTTTAAATTATACTATTGATTATTGTAAATTAAAGTTAGAATATTAATTAGTGTAAATTAAAATTTTATTTTAATTAATTATTACATTTAATATAAAATTTAAATTTTAAAACAAAATATAATACACTTGAACTTTCAAACCAATGACATTAGACTATATATAAGTGCATTCTTCAATTTCAAAATAACGGTTCCAATCCTTATGAATTTATTAAAAAAATAAAATATTATAAAAATATATATATTATATTTAATATTTTTAAAAAATTTAGGAGTACACATCAAGTGAGAAAGAAATCCAATCCGCCTATGTTTGCCACGTAAATCATTTTAAAAGACAACCAATAATTTATAGACCATTTAAAAATTTTAATTTTAAATTAAACTAAAATAAATCATAGACTGTTTATTAAATTTAACATTTATTTATATTACGTAACACTACCAACTTTCTCTCTCCACACGCTTGTTAAATTCTAACGCTTTCTCTCTCTGGTACCAAAATTATCTTTGTTCGTCTGCGTCGAGAATTTCTGGTTTCAAAAGAAGATGTCGTTAGCCGCTTCCCAGATCCTTCGGTTTTCTCCGGATTTCGCCTAACTTTGGATTTCCACGGTATATCTGCGAATTTTGTTTCATTTTCTATGTGGTCAATGATTTCTTTCATTACCGTGCGTACTACTCGCTTGATGTTCATTAGTTATGTTTGGAATTGCGTTTATTTATTTATTTTAAGGAAACTCTTCTTCTTGTGTGTTCAATATGAGTTTTTTCATCTTGGGTTTTCTATGAATTGATTGGAGATTAGGTTTTTGATCTTTGTATGGATGATTGTTTTGGGTTTGGATTGTTTTTGTCTTTTAATGTTGGAATGGTAAATTAAAAATTTCAAGAAGAGAAAGATCTGATAAGCTTGACTAGACTCTTTTTTTTTTTTTTTGGTCTTTCGTGAAAAGTATTGTTTTGTGGCTGAAATTAATTTGGGTTTTCGATTCTTAGATAAGCTGGCTGTTAATCTTATTTCTCCTGAGACCAGCTGGGTAAGTTGACTTTTGATAGAAGATATCAGCTTTCTCTATTTGCTGCTAGACTGCTAGTGGTAGTGTTAGAGTTTTAAGTTAGATCCTCTATGCTTGTATCTATTTAATTTTGTAGTTTACCCATTTTGTTCAGTGTTAGATCTATTCTTTTAAGATTTCAGCTTTCTCTGTGTGTTTGGTTATGTTTCTTGCAATATAAGAAGCCCTCCAAGAGATTTTTCAGTTCAAGTTTGTTATTTTGGAAATAAACAATTCTTCTGTCAGAGCATGTTTAAAAGAAAATTTCTTTTGTTTTCGAAGATTATGCTATTTGCTGAGACTGGTTTGGGTGAGAGCCTATATTCATAAATAGCTTTACATACTGTATGAATTTATCTTTTACTATGCTAAGGGAGCCTTTCTGAACATGCTGTCTCAAAATCCAGCATCTACTTGGTGAATCCAATTTGGGAATCATGGATATTGTTTAGAAGGTTGGAGTGGCCCTTCTATCCATTTAATTATTCTTCTAATGTTTATGTATTAGAGAAATAGCTGTCAGAAAGCCCTTTCTATTTTGCCTCTTGCAACAGCGACTGACTTGTAGACTGTAAATATATTTGTTATTCTTTGTGAAATGTGCTACCACTCTGCTATAACTGACCTCATATTGTTTGCTGTATTTAATCATGGTGCAGTTGCATATTAGGTGGCACAATAATTAACATTTTATGTGTTTCTACAGCATAATTAAGGCGGCAAAAACCAACATTTAGCCCTTTACCTTACAAAGTTGGTAGGTTTTAGCCCTTCACCTTATAATATGACACTTTTAGGTTTTAGCCCCTCACCTTATATTATAACATTTTTAGCCCCTCACCTATACGAATTGAAGAAAATAACTCTCACCTAATATTAGGTTATAACATTCTGTTAGTTTTGTTAGCTGACTGTTAATATCAGCTAACAAAACTGACAGAACATTATAACCTAATGTAAAGTGAGAGCTATTTTTTTCAATTCGTATAGATAAGGTGCTAAAAGTGTCATAGTGTAAGGTGAGGGGCTAAAACCTACCAATTTTGTAAGGTGAGGGGTTAAAACCTACCAACTTTGTAAGGTAAAGGGCTAAAAGTGTCATATTATAGGGTTAACGGCTAAAACCTACCAATTTTGTAAGGTGAGGGGCTAAAAGTTGGTTTTAGCCTAATTAAGGCTATATACTGAAACTACTCTCATCCTATGACTATGAGTTCATAGAATCATGGTTACTGCATTCCTGCTATTTTCTTCTCTTTTTTTTTTTTTTCATTAATTTTTTGATACTCATAGGTAGCAATTCTATTATGATTTTCCATTTTGTAGTTCTATAAGCAGTTTCTGCTCTGAGGGAGTCATTATTCTTTGGCCTTTCAGTACATGTATGATAAATATTTATGGTGGATGAGGATGCTGATAAATTTTTCTTAAACATCAATATAACATAAGCCCAAACTGCATTTAGTTCTATTTTCTTTTGGAGGCATGCATTGCACTCTTCAACCTGAGCTAATCAGCAGGATTAAGAACAATATTTATTGAAATTTCCCAGTTTTTGTTTTCTTATTATGTAATTTAGATATCTTTTTCGAATCTTATATCAGTTCCGTTAGGTTTCTTTGAAGTTTGAAGTGTCTCCTCACTACTGTCAGATCCATGCTATGTAACTTTGTGGTTGATTAAATTTTTCTTATTTGTTTATGAATCTCTGGCTTTGCAGGGACAACTGTTATTCCCATTCTCTTAGTAATTCCCACCCACATTTAATTTATGATTTCTCTAAAAGTATCATTAGTTTTAAGGGAAAGCTTTACATTTAATTTTATTTCATTAAAGATGTTGTTGGTGTTAGATATAGAACAGTAGTCTTCTTTACCTTAAGATTTCCCAATTTGATGAATTGTTCTAGTTCCATATTCCAACATTTTGTGTTCCATGAAGTATTATACCCATAAATATGTTTTAATTTATTCTTACATATATTTCAGTGCTGTCTGTTGAACTTGCTATTTGTATGGTCATTTTGACAAGCTAGATTGCTACAGTCCTTGTTGACAGTCGCAATGCACATGCCTGTCAAAAAGAGTGGTTATAAGCATATTTGATGTGTAAAAATGTATTGGGGGTTGATGTGTTTTCCTAAAAATTCTGCTATTGCTGTGTGCCAAAACCATTGTTTCAGGTGTTGAATAGAACTTATTAAAAATGGTGTAAATTGATATTTCTTGTCATCTGCTTCAATATCTTTTAAAGTTCCTTTTTATCTTTTGACAGGGTTAATGAAGAGAAACCATTTATTAGCAAGGAGCACAAGAAGCTCCAAAGATCTCTTTACTTCAGTGCTTAAGATACCAATTAAAGGGTTCTATCCTAGAAACGTGGTTAGATACTTCAGGAAGTGAGAGCTTTGCATTAATTGGAATTGCGTTGCTATTGATACTTGATAAGATGGACAGATCTGATACATCTGGCTTTGTAAGTGGTGGAGGATACTACTGGAATTTCTACAATTGATTTTTGTTGTTATATATGCACAAACTAGTAGCATAGATAGAGATTCTTTTGCAAATTGGTCGAACTTTCCACTGTGCTATACTTCAAAGCATCTAGAAATGGATTTGAACAAGAATATACAGTTTTCTTTTGCTTCTGAACTTGCAAAAAATGACAATTTTGGCGATACTGCTCTGTGCTTAAACTTCCTCAGCTATGGAAGCAGCAATGCAGCCAGAATTGGTAGTACTCAACCTAATCTCTGCGCTGATCATCCATGTGCTACTGATGATGGCTGCAGATTGGTTCTTGGATTGGGTCCCACTGCTGGCGTGTACTCTGATCATTATTACAAGGTTAGGACCAACAAGGACAAAGGACCAGCTGCTGCATTTACTGCAGGCTTGTCATTTGAGGATGTTTCTATCCTAAAACTAGGCCTTTCTGGGGGAACAATGGAAACTCTGAGTGGACAGGATTGTTCACTGTCAACCGAGACTGATGTTAGGATGCCAATTACAAAAAAATTTTCTCCTGAAGACAACAGACTTGTTATTCCTGTTGTTGATGAAGGTTCTACTTCTGCAAAAAAATCTGGTGGCTATATGCCGACGCTCCTTTTGGCTCCAAGAATGGAAGGTGGCAGCACTTTGTTGCAGACAAGTGAACTTACTACTATGACATCGTTCGAGCAGCGTACCGGCAACTCGAAGAAATGCAAGTTTGCTGGTTGTACAAAGGGAGCAAGAGGGGCATCTGGGCTTTGCATTGGTCATGGGGGCGGACAGCGATGCCAAAAGCCAGGGTGTAACAAGGGTGCTGAGAGCCGAACTGCTTATTGTAAGGCTCATGGTGGGGGGAGGAGGTGCCAGCACTTGGGTTGTACCAAAAGTGCTGAGGGGAAGACAGATTTATGCATTGCACATGGTGGTGGCAGGCGATGTGGTTTTCCAGGGGGTTGCACTAAGGCAGCAAGAGGCAAATCAGGGCTTTGCATTAAACATGGTGGAGGGAAGAGGTGTAAGGTGGAAGGTTGCACCCGCAGTGCTGAAGGACAGGCTGGATTGTGCATCTCTCATGGTGGTGGAAAGCGTTGCCAGTTCGAGGGCTGTAGTAAGGGTGCTCAGGGAAGTACCCTATTTTGCAAGGCTCATGGGGGTGGAAAACGTTGTATATTTGCAGGGTGCACTAAAGGTGCAGAAGGAAGCACACCATTGTGCAAAGCACATGGTGGGGGAAAGCGTTGCCTTTACAATGGTGGTGGGATTTGTCCCAAGAGTGTACATGGAGGTACAAATTTCTGTGTTGCTCATGGTGGTGGGAAAAGGTGTGTTGTGGCAGGTTGCACCAAGAGTGCGCGTGGTCGCACTGATTGTTGTGTCAGGCACGGAGGTGGCAAGCGGTGCAAATTTGAGAACTGTGGGAAGAGTGCTCAAGGAAGCACAGACTTCTGCAAGGCCCATGGTGGAGGAAAAAGATGCTCTTGGGCAGAGAGTAAATGCGAGAAATTTGCTAGGGGCAAGAGTGGTCTCTGTGCTGCTCACAGCAGTATGGTACAGGAGCGTGAGGCCAAGAATGGAGGCTTTATCGCACCTGGAGTATTCCATGGGCTTGTACCAGCTTCATCAACTACAGTAAGCAGCTTTGACAACAATCACTCTTCCTCAGGTGCTAGTGTTATCTCTGACTGCATTGATTCAATGGAAAAGCCAGCAAGAAGGCAACAACTCATACCACCACAGGTATTGGTTCCTCATCATATGAAATCCTCGCCATCATATTCAAGTTACGTCAGTGCAGAGAACGCAGATGAAGGAAGAAGTGCCTATGGCATAGGCATTGGTAGCACTGGCCCAAGCAAGAATATCGAGTTCCTGATTCCTGAGGGGAGGGTTCATGGTGGTGCTCTCATGTCGCTGCTAGGTGGGAATCTGAAGCATCCAATTGATGGAATTTGAAGGCCAAATAGTTTAGACCTGTAGAAGTTACAATTTGGGATTTCAAGTATTTTTGTCTATGGAATTGTCTAGAAGGTATGGCGTCTGTTGAATGACTCATGTCTGTATACTTTGTGCTGGAGGTTGAGATTAACACTAGTCTTTCAATATTTAATCTGTGGTCTGATGTCTAAAAGAAACCTCAAAAGACTTTGCTTGTTCCTGTAAATGTTTAATAATGGAATCATTGTTGAAATTGTATCTTCCAGGCCTGGGCATAATTTCGGGGTGTTAAAACCCACTGTGGTCCTGAACTTTTATATGGAGTACTTTTTTAGTTCTGAGAAAATCCCCTTTATATCTATGAAGTTTAATTTTTTTGATTCCTTCTAGTCCCTCTGTCAAGCTTTTTCACAGGTGCCCGTTTAATCGATGGAAAGGGTTCGTTTTTTTTTTTCTTAATCGTACCCTGAGAGGTAAAAACACTATCGAACCCAAAGAATATGAATTCTACAAAATTTTAGTCAACCTCCTAAACACCATGGTGTAATATTAAAATCATTAAAATAAAATGTTTTTAATCACACCAACGGTAAGGACTTTAAGTTAGACATAAATTCGATATTTCTTTGTGAAATTTTTTTAAAAGAAAACTATAATTATATTAATAATTGAAATAATTACAATATAAGTAATAACATTGTCAGGTAGGTTGAACAAGTTGTAAACATATCATCTATATGAATAATTGGTACTATTAAATATAAAATATCTTAGTAGAAATAATCATCTATTATCTAAAATAGCATGATTTTTAAATTTTGTTCAAACACAAAAGTACAAAAATGACAATTTTATCAACTTTGATAAATATAATTACAATTTTTATAAGAATTATTTTTCATATAATTCATAACATGTATCCTAGAATTGCATCATTGTAACCAAGTAACTTTCTCGTATTAATAATCTCATTATTATATATTGAGTAATAAATTATTTAACTTTCACTATTTTTCTAAACACTTTATTCCATTATAATTTTTTTTATGACAAATTCTCCATTATAACTTTTCAATATCTTCTAATTAAGAAAATAATTTTCTTAAATAACAACAAATATTTCACAAAACCTTAAATTTTTCATTACTCTTATTATAATTGCCAATGTCTTTTACTATTTTTCTAGTTGACTAATAAAATAAGAATGTTATACAATTCAAAATCCATCATGAGACATGTATCTTTAAACTTAATCAAATCATATACAATCCAGATATCAATCACATAAGAGATACACAAATTAACACCAATCTTACATTAACAATATAATTTTGATTCTAGACCTTTTGTTTCTATAAAAGTGCCTTTTCAAAATAAACTTCTCATGATGTACTATAATCCCTAGCATGATTCCTTTTAACTCTTTAGAGTTCAAGCTGCAACTATATTTTACTTTATTGACATTATTATATTATTTAAATAAGTCCATAAAATCAATCCTTAACAAGTCAATTAGTAAGAAAATCATCATTTAGCAAACATATATAATTTCTTATAATCCTTATCAATTGCTTCTACTACTTCAAGTTAATGCATACAATAATCATTTTTGGGTATAATATTGCATACACTAATATGATAGTATTAACTTCATTCCTTATCTTTAATAGTTTATTTTTTATCTTCCCAATAGATCAACTAATTTTAATGACATAGGAATATTGATAGAATCAGTTAGTATAAAACTTTATTAAACTTTAGAAGTTCCAATTACAAAGTGAATCAACAAAAATAATCTCACAAAAAGTAATCCCCTTTGGGAAAAAAATTCTCTATGAAACCAAAATAAGAATCCTTACTAACCATTTACACTTTTTTAGTTAATATGCACAATCACCCCCAAGTGATATACATTGATTTCAAGAAGCAAATATTGCAAAATCTTTATTAAGAAATATGTGAATTTTAATAGGTGGTCTATTTTGTCAGTAGCATCCACATCAATTCACAAACTCTCACTTAGACATTTACCTGACATAACATTCCGGAATCCTTATTAAAAATAAAATTCCAGAATCCTTATTAAGAATAAAATTCCAGAATCCTTATTAAGAATAACAATCCAGAATCCTTATTAAGAATAACATTCCAGAATCCTTATTAAGGAATACATGAATCCATGAATCTCAATAAATTGCCTACTTTGGTTGTACCATCCATGTTAACTCACAAGCTCCCACTGAAACAATTGTTCATAAATAATGTAACATTTCAAAATCCTTATTGAGAGTTTAACCAATCTCCAAGTGGAATAAAATTTTTTGCTATTGCCAAATCTTTAGTGACAAAAGTCATTTATCCTAATAAATTAACCATTGATGTTATTCATATTACTCATAAAACTTTATTAGGATTTTCATTTATATATATGGTTCTATAATCTTGCTCAATCATATCTTTTATAATCTTTAATAATAATAATTCTTTAATAATTATAACGTATAAATTAAGAGAATCTTAAAACTGTTAGGAAAACCTTCAATACTAATTAGTTTTATTACTTTAATACTCAAAGAAAATTATATGAAATTCTTATTAGTATTTTAAATGAATCAAGATATACAAATACTAAAATTCATAGAACTTTATCAAATATCTTTAAGATTTTAACATTTCATGTATTGCTACAATTAGGTTATCACTAATATGCATAATAAACATGTATGATTATTCCTTAAAGGTAATTAATTAGGGAAATGTTTGGTACACCCTCCGGTTCCACACCCTCTGGTTTAATAATTAAAAATATAATATAAATACAGTCAATTCAGTTGGTTCTTGTATCATGTGTACATGATTGTATCATTATATTTGTCTGTTTTTAATTTCAGATTAAAAAATAATATTTTTTAATGACTAAACTGAAATGTGTTGAAATATAGGGTGTACCAATCATTGTCCAATTAATTACCAATAAAATCTGTTATATATCTAACAGTTTAACCTTAAATTACATATCATGAGTTATACCTAAACTTTAATTCCACAAAACCTCTTTAGAGATTTAGAAATTGAGTAGTTAAATTATAGAATTCATATGCTAAAACCCACATATAAAAACAAATAATTTCATATTAAATAAAATACCAATATCAGTAGAATCATAATTTAGTTATCTTGTATCATTGTAATTTGCCTTGATACAATTTAATGAATTATTTGAATTTGTAACTCTCAATAATCCTTAGTCCACTTTTAGTATATATTTTTTCTAAAATTTTTTAAAACTTTCATATAGTTAGTAAAAATTAATAGTTATACTTTCTCTAGATGCAAAACTAGTCTTTATAGATAGTTCATTGGCAACTGCCTATATATTCTTTACATTTAAATATAGATACTTTATATGCTTATTAGAAAACACAATACTACAAAACCCATATATTAAACTAGGAATGAAGATAAACAATTTTTCATGAGAATTAAATTTCACAATTATCTACTTATTTATCTCATGACTATAAATTTTCTTATTGATAATTAAATTTAAAAACCTTGGTAAATGACTAATGCAATGAGTTTCAAGAAATTTAATTCAAGGATATTACAATATGTTAATAATAGGGTATATAAACTTATGTACTTCAAATTGTAATTCACTAACCTCTTTAACAAAATTCTAAAACATAATTTTCAAGATGTATTTCATAGCATATATTATATTATCATAATAATATTTGCAGTGGTTTCAAACCCAAAAAAAGAAAAACATATCATATTAAAAATATATTTACCACTAATTATGCATCTTTAACCCCCAATTGATACATATTTTATGATTTTATAAGTTGCACTTAATATGTATTTTAATCTAAATGAACAAATATACATGTCTCTTTCCTCATAAAAAATGGTAAATAACTAATTTAATATATAAAATAAACAACCCAATCGATATTCCATATACATATATAATAATTAAACAATATTATATTATTTTAATAAATATTCCTTACACAAATTCTTATATGTGTTGTGTCATGGAAAAAAAAACACAATTAAAAAAAAAAAAACTCCTAGCTAAAGAGAAGTGAATTCACATCAAAGAATTATAAACTCTTAATTGTACAAATTTTGAAAGTTTTCTAAGTGTCAACTAGTTAGGACTTAGGAGTGTGTTTGAATTGCTGTGAAGTACTGTGACTGTAACTATAT